GACAAGAATAATAATCCAGCTATAAAGCACACTGAATCCTACCTACTGTATAGCACAGGGAACTCTACTCAATACATATAGTATTAACCTATATGGAGAAAGAAATGGCAACCCTCTCCAGTACTCTTGCCTGGAAAATCCCATGGACAGAGGAGCCTGGCGGGCTACAATCCTTGGGGTCACAAAGAGTCAGACATGACTGAGTGACTAACACACACACACGAAGAAAGAAGCTAAAAAAAGAGTTGACATATGGGACTTCTCCAGTGGTCCAATGGCTAAGACTCTGAGCTCCCAATGCAGGGGGTCCGGGTTCCATCCCTGGTCAGGGAACTAGATCCTACATGCTGCAACTAAAGATCACGCATGCTGCAAGAACACCCAGTGCAGTCAAATACTTATATATTTGGCTAAATAAAACATAAAAGAGTTGATTTATGTTCATGTATGGCTGATTCACTTTGCTGTACAGCAGAAACTAACACATTGTAAGTCAACTACACTCCAACAAAAAGTTTAAAAAACAAACAAAAACCCCATTGAATCCAAGGTAGCTCCTGGGAACCTCAGTGTATGGAGTTCTAGAATCTTCTCAGGGAGTTCCCCGTTGGTCCAGTGGCTAAGACACCATGCTCCCAAATGCAGAGGGCCTGAGTTCAATCCCTGGTCAGGGAACTAGATTCCCACATGTTGCCACTAAGACCTGGTACAACCTAAATAACTAAATGTTAGAATCTTCACTCAGTAGTGTGATCTGCTCCGTCTCCTCCCTGCCAACCCCAGAGCTCAGTGTGTGGGTAAGAACAGGGGTCTGGAATCAGACCAACTCTAGTCAGTCTGGATTCAAATCCCCAGCTCCACCACTTTCCGGCTGTGTGCCAGGTTATCTATTCTGTGCCTTAGTTTCTCCATCTCTCAAAAAAGTTAATAACAGTACCTTTGTCATAGGACTGTTGTGAAGATTCAGTGAGTTAACGCAAGGAAGGTGTTCACCAAGTGTGAGCTTCTGTCACCTTCTCTGTCGCTCATAGCTTATGACTTGTTACACCCTATCTCTAGCCTGCTCTATGATAACCTCCGCTTGTGTTCGCCCTCTCGATGCCATGTGGTCCGCCTCTGTGTCACCTTGCAGTGCTATGTACTTCCTCTGCTCAGTATTGATTAGTTCTACTTTCCATGAGCACATGCAGCAATCTCATGATGGCTTAACAGATGAGATAGAGCTATATGTGTTGATTTGGAAATATGTTGAGGTACATTAAAAGGCAGGTGAAGACAAAGATAAGAACGTGTATAGTGTGCTCACATCTGTGTATTTTTGAGAAAGCAATGGAGGGACAGTCTGTGTCTATAAATCATATACAGTTGACCCTTCAACAACTCAGGGATTGGGGTGCTGACCCACTGTGCAGTAAAAAATCCGAGCATACCTTTATAGTTGGCCCTCCATATCCTGGTTCCACATCCCAGTCTCAACCAACTTGGCTAGTGCAGTACTATAGTACACATTTATTGGAAAAAAACAAAACAAAACAGATAGAAGCGAACTTACACAGGGCTTCCTGGTGGCTCAGTGGTAAAGAATCCACCTGCCAATGAAGGAGACAGGGTTTCAAACCCTGATCCAGGAAGGTTCCACATGCCACAGGGCAACTAAGCCCATGAGCCACAACTACTGAGCCTTGGTGCTGCAACTACTGAAGCCCGTGAAACCCAAGCCTGCGCTCCACGAGAGAAGCCCTCATACTGCGACCAGGGAATAGCCCCTGCCTGGCCACAGCTAGACCAAGTCCACACACAGCAACAAAGACCCAGCACAACCAAAGCAGATAAACAAAACGTAGAAAAAATACGTGAACCTGCACAGTTCAAGCCTGTGTTGTTTAAGGGTCAACTAAGCAGAGTTTTTTTCCAAAGTGAACTTCCCTGCTGGGCCAGTGGTTAAGAATTTGCCTTCCAACGCAGAGGACAGAGGTTGGGGAACTAAGGTGTCACATGCCATGTGGCAACAAGGCCCGCACGGCACAACAAAGACCCAGCACAAAAATTTAAAAATAATTTTTGAAAGGATATTGTGGTTAGATAGCATCAGTGACTCAATAGACATGAGTTTGAGCAAACTCTGGGAGATAGTGAAGGACAGGGAAGCCTGGTGTGCTGCAGTCCACGCTGCCACAAAGAGTCAGACACAACTTAGCGACTGAACAACGGTGGCAGGAAAACAACCACCCCCCTCCCCCAAATATGCCCTAATCCCCAGAATCTTTGAATATGTCATGTTACACAGCGAAGGAAAACTAAATTTGCAAGTGGAATTAAGGTTGCTACTGACTTTTTTCCTTCTTAATTTTCATATTGGAGTATAGTTGTTTCACAGTGCTGTTACTTTCAGGTGTATAACAACATGATTCAGTTACGTATATATGAATATCCATTATTTTCAGATTCTTTTCCCGTATAGGTTATTACCTAACATTGAGCAGAATTTCCTGTGCTATACAGAAGGTCCTTGTTCATTACTTTACATGCAGTAGTGTGTATGGGTTTCCCTGGTGGCTCAGACAGGAGAGAATCTGCCTGCTATGGGGGAGGCCTTGGTTCGATATCTAGGTTGGGAAGATCCCCTGGAGAAGGGGATGGCTACCCACTCCAGTATTCTTGCCTGGACAATTCCATGGACAGAGAAGACTGGTAGGTGACCGTCCCTGGGATTTCAAAGAGTTGGACACAGCTGAGTGACTGACACTTTCACTTTCACTAGTGTGTATAAATTAACCTGACTTTAAAATGGGGGAGATTATGCTGAGTGAACTGGATGGACCCACGGTCACCATGTGTGTGCTGCCAAGTCCCTTTAGTTGTGTCCGACTCACTGCGACCCCATGGACCGTAGCCCACCAGGCTCCTCTGTCCATGGGATTCTACAGGCAACAATACTGGAGGGGGTTGCCATGCCCTCCTCCAGGGGATCTTCCCTACCCAGGGATTGAATCTGTGTCTCTTACATCCTCCTGTGTTGGCAGGCAGGTTCTTTACCGCTGGTGCCACCTAGGAAGCCCAGGGTCACCACAAAGGTCCCGAAAAGCAGAAGAGGAAGAGTCAGCGTGATGAGACATGAGAAGGACCCCCCTGCCGTCGCCGGCTTTGAGGAAGAAGAGAGGGCTGTAAGCCAGGATACAGGCAGCCTCTAGAAGCTGGAAAAGGCAAGGAGTTGGACTCTCCCCTAGAACTGCAGGAGGGATGAAGCCCTGCTGGCGCTTTGATGCTAGCCCAGTGGGGTCCACTTTCGGGGGGTGAGGGGTCCTTCTGCAGCACCTCGCCCCAGTCACTGATTTCTGAGAATCCAGATGGTGGGATGGTGGATTGCCTTCTATGACTTCAGTAACTGTATGTTGAATGAGTAGAACTTTGTTGGAAACAGGAAAGGCAGTACTTCTGGGAACAGACAAATAAGCAGGAGTTGTGCCTGAGAGGTATTGAAAATGTCCCGGAAGGTGGCTGAGGCCCAGGGATGGGTATCCAGGCAGTTAATATATTAGGGAAGTATGGCCCCAGTCATACAGACAAGGCTACAGGGGACTCCCATCTCTGGGAGGGGTACCCCCAAGAGTAGGGCTACAGCCTGGGAGCACAGTGAAGAAAATGAATGACAGTGCAGTTGTATGGACAACAAGGTCCTACTATATAGCACAGAGAACTATATACAATATCCTGGGATAAATCACAATGTAAAGCATATAAAAAGCATGTGTATATGTGTATACCTGAATCACTTTGCTGTGCAGCAGAAATTAACACAACCTGTAAATCAACTATCCTTCAATTAAATAAACAAACAAACCCAGCAAAGACTTTACTACCCTACATGGGAGTGCTAGATTTTGTGCATTTGTTCCTCAGTTTACATGACACTGAGAAAGTTGAATAACCTCAATTCTTCAAAGAACCAACTGTAACTGGCCTATCATTAAGTTAACAAATTAAAGGGCCAGAGTTACTCAAAGTAAAAAAAAAAAAAAAAATAATGCAATCATTTTGTCAAGGAACTTAAAACTATAGTCCTAAGGGACCAGACTACTGACTGAGGCCAAACCTCGGGCACACAGAACAAGGACACAGAGACAAAAGTCACTTATGATCCAGAGGTTCTATCCTCGTGGTGCTGAGCCTGGGTCTTCATTCTACAGTTTGAAGAAAGGAGCCATGAAAAGGCTGGGAATCAGACAAGAGTCTGATATGTGCCTATTAAGGAGTTTAGAGATCTCAGTAAATTATTACTACATCTGAAAAGCTGACAGTTACATGCTGAGAAACCAACAGAAAAAGGTCAATGCTGCACCAAAACAGAGCCTAAGTGTCAGATTCTGATTCCACAAACTGGCCAAATTTTTTTTTTTCTGGCCTGGAAGTTACTTCAGTAAGTGACCCTGTTTGTACATAGTGAACTTGCTTTTTTAGCAAGAAGAGTCCGTGTCTGTCAGTTTTGACATCATCAAGCGAGAAGATAAAAAAACATTTAGATGATCAAACAAAACATGTTTATTATTACTGTTAGTTGTTTAGAGAACCATTGGACCATTGAATAATCATAAAGTTTATTGATTGAATTTATTAATATAGACATTTACAAACATAAAGTGCTGTGCTGAAATCAGGAATTACTAGAGTTTTCGGATAACCTTACCTTCTCATTAGCTAATATGAAAAATGATTTCCTTGGACTTCCCTGGTGGTTCAGTGGATAAGAATCCACCTGCCAGTGCAGGGGACACAGGTTCGATTCCTGGTCCAGGAAGATTCCACATGCCATGGAATCAATGCCATGGGCAACAAAGCCCGTGTACCGCAACTACTGAGCATACGCTCTAGAGTCCATGACCTGCAACTATGGAACCCGCACACCAGAACTACTAAGTCCACGCATCCTAGAGCCTGTGCTCTGCTCAAGAGAAGTCACCACAATGAGAAGCCTGAGCCCCACAATGAAGAAAAGCCCCTGCTCACTGCAAGTAGAGAAAGCCTATGAGCAGCAATGAGGACCCAGCACAACCAAAAATAAAAACAGTTTCCTTTATATATGTTGTTGTAATGCGATTAGGTAAGTGAAAGTCACTCACTCGTGTCCAATTCTTGGTGACCCCATGGTTTATACAGTCCATAGAATTCAACAGGCCATAATACCGGAGTGGGTAGCCTGTCCCTTCTCCAGGGGATCTTCCCAACCCAGGAATCAAACCAGGATCTCCTGCATTGCAGGTGGATTCTTTACCAACTGAGCTATCAGGGAAGCCCCATAAGTAGGTTTCATGTACCATAATTAGGTGTCATGCATCTAATATTTAACAAGATTAACAGATGCATCATCACCTTCTAAGATGTTTTGGAACAATAGTTTTTATTATAAAGCTCTTATTTCACACTGGTCACAATTGAATAGAGTAACAGATCATTGCAGAAGCTAGTGATAACTCATTCAACAAAATAATCACATATTAAAAAATAATAATAATAATCACATATTATACCCATTAATGCCCCATCATCTAAGCAGAAAGGTCTGAAATTTCCTTCTGAAGATGTAATTTTACTTATCTATCACACACTTTACAAAATAACTTGTTCTTCCAAAATCAGAGGGGCAAGTGACAAGCTTCTGAGGCACATCCATTGTACAGCACTCTGAATTAAACAAGGAAACAGACCAGCTCCTTTTGACAAGTCTCCATATCCTTCTAGTTGCCCGATTCTAATTACACAGACCTTAAAAAGTCAGATCATTCTGAGTGGATGGGACACAGTCTCATGGATGTCAATCTCTTCTCATTTGCCAAAGGTGCAAGTGAGTACCAAATTCTGACATCTTGCAGTTGCTTATTACAGGGTTCCTAAGACAGGAAATTGGATCCCTAAGACTGTAAACTGATATATTCCTCTCATTGTAAAAGCCTCTGAGAAGTGTGATACATAAGAGAGGCTTCAGGTAGGTTTATTTAAAACCAACATTTTGACTCTGATCAGAGATGAAGCCATAAGTGAAACTTTGTTTCCATTGAACCCACCTCTGAGAGGTCAGAAAATAAACTCTTTAAAGTGGACATTGGAGTCTATTTCTAGAATAGCTGAATCAGTTAGCTTGGCTGATGGATCTTTGCTGCCAATGGCTCATGAAGTTAGACAGGACAAAGTACCACCTAGAGGTTTGGTGGTTTCTTTATTCAGTACCCACAGAGAAGGCCTTTATTAAAAAAAAAAAAAAAAAAAGAAGAGTGCTGAAACTCCATTACATTCATTTCCTGTCTTAATGTTTCCAACCATATAGAGAATGTCCCAAAGGTCTTAGGTTAGTTTTGTGCTTTAATAAACTTGTGTCAATATTAAATTGCTTCCTCTTGTCTTGCTATGTCTTCAGAACAAAGCTGGTAGAATATTTCTCTGACTCAGTTTCTAACAGTTCTCTCACTCAATTACACATCACTGTAGATGTGGGTTGTTTTGTGAAAAGTACAAAGATGCACAGTTCTCAGACTCTTCTGTGATAGAAAGAAACCTCAGCCTCTATGTGTGGTGTTAATACTACTGAAAATTATTTGGGGCAGTACTGTGAACATTGAGATGGTCATATTTTAATAAATTTCCACACATTCATCCAGTTAAAGAAACTGGTCTTAACTCCAGGTGTTTTCTCTCCTTCTCCCGGATCAATGTTATATGGATTTTTATCCGTGACTTCTTTTGTTTTTATAAGGGTCATGTATATTTCCTGGGTTCTGGCAATTTCTTTCTGTGCATCAAAATGGACCTTCTGCCTGGTCAGAAGGGGAACAATTAAATTAAAATCATTAATTCGCTTATTTAGCTTTTTGATGTTTTCTTGAAACTGCTCACAAACTTGGTTCCACTGTTTCTGTTCAGCTGATGTCATTGGAGTCCCAAGTTTTTTCCTCGACACTAAAATTGCCTCTCTGAGTTGATCAATGGTATCCTTTATTTCCTTTTGCATTAGGATCCATTCTGGTTGGTATCCATTATCTATCAATATTCTGTTCAGGTTGTGAGTCATAGGATCAATATATGAACAGCCAGAAAATTTTTTCAGAGGTTTTCCTTTCCCGCTGAGATTGTCAAAGTCTCCTTTTGCCATTGATTCCTGAATGAGATCCTCCACCAAACGCTCTATTGCCTGAGTTATCTTTCGTTCCTTACTGTGTCTTACATCTTTAACAGTGACACTATCAGTGAAATACTGGCTTTGCAGTTTCTGCTTTTGGTATTCCATCACTTGTTCAGTTGCACGGTCTGCTCTAAACTGCCTGTACTGCTTCTCTCGTTGACTCGGAGTCCCAAAACCAATACCCTCAAAACTTAAGTAATGCCGGTGTTGGGGTGTTTTATATTTGAATTTTTCTTCTTCTTCTTCTGTGTCTTCAACTTTACTCTGTCTGGCATTTGTCTGTTCTATCACGTGGGAAAGTACCTTCCTGTAAGCTTCTTCAATCCTTATAAACGTTGCAGAATCAGCAGTACTAGAGCCACCGTCTGGATGGTATTGCTTGGCAAGCTTACGAAAAGATTCCCTGACATCATCTGCAGAACAGCCTTCATCCAGGTTCAGCAGCTCATAATATTCTCTCATATTCCTTTTGGATTTATGGGTTGACATCATTCTAGTTCTTATGACACCAAGATATGGACCCATTTTCATTCGATTAGGAATCACTGAAGCACCTCTCAGATGAGATCTTAAGATCTGAGCCATCATCACATACGTTGTGTTCCTTATGGTACCCAGAGTTCTCCCCTAGCAATGATCTATAAAACAACAAATATAGAGTGAAGAAAGTTGTATTATCAGCTAAACTCATATTTTCAGCAATATGAATGAAATTATGCATATAATAAGGGCAGTTCTTTCTAATGCTGCTGCTAAAATTCTCAGAGCTACAATTCACTTATGTTAGCAGAGAAATGGAAGTTGATGACGTCTTACATTAACATATTGCAATATGATCTAGATTCTACTACTAACTAACCCCAGAATGTTAGAGCTGGCAAGTTCTCAGAGATCATCTAATCCAATCTTCTCGTTTTATGAGAAAATGTAGACCCAGAAGGTTAAGCAACATAACCAAATCCAGTAACAAGGTGGAAGGGCACAATAAGCCTCTTGTTTAACTGTCTGTATCCCCAGCAGATCATGAACTTCATCGGCACCGTTACTTCTTTAGTTAGCGAATGTATCAGTCTTTACCGTCCCAAGGAGTCTTCTCACGAGGAGACAGGTGAAATAATCAGAGCACACGTCAAAGTATGTATGTACCTAGTCTGACACTAAACTGAATAGAATCAAATGTCCAAAAAAGATTTTAAGCTCTGCAGCTTGTTAGGAAGGAGCTATTCGCTACAAGTCGAAAAACCAAGATGAAAGGGTGAGCCCTCTCAAGACGTTAACTATTATTTTTAAAACGCACGGTACAGAAGAGGAAGGCAGTCTTGTACGAGGGTAATGGCAATGAAATGCTGGAAGTGGTTTCATTGAAAATAGGACTTTGATGTATACATGCTAAAACTGAGCTCCCGGGGACTCCAATTTCTGGACAGTCGGGATCGAGGACTTCCAGGTTTAACTGGGACTTCGGTGATGGTGCCCAAGGTGGCCGTCGCGAGGGAGCGGTCAGTCCCGACGCTGGACACGCCCCGCCCCGCCCCCTACTCACCTCAGAAGCGGCTCAGCGGCTCCCGCGTCCAAGCTGCGCCTCGACGCATGCGTGCGCCATCTGCCCTTCGCTTCACAGGCGTCTCGGCGGGAGGCCCGCGGCAAGCGCCGCCGCTGGGCTAGATCATCAGCGTTTTACACAGAGGGAATCCTCGGGGTGCGGCGGGCAGTATTATACCTAATAGGGACAGACGTCCTATCTTACCACGGAACCCCAGAATCTCCTTTAAGCCCTAGTCTTCTCTAGAGGACAGGAGTAGGAGCTTTCAGGAGGCCCCGCCCCGTCCCGGGCACCAGCTCCGCCTCCGCCCCCAACTGGAGCGGAAGATGGATAGGTCGAGCGGGATTGTGGGAGATGTAGTTATTCCGGAAGTGCGGCGCGCGCCGGACTGCTTCCGGGAGAAGGGTGGGTGGGGAGAGGTGATGCGGCGAAAGGGACGCTGTGGCGGCTCTGTAGATGTGTGGGGCTTCTCTGGCCCTGTGGCCGGTGTAGGTGGGGACCTGTGACGTCCGAGTGGTTTGGAGGGCGACGCCCCTCGGAATGTTGTTTTGAAAAGAGGGAGACGAGTCTGTTTCCCCGAACAGGACCTGGACAGCCTCTTCAGGTCTGCAGCCGGAGACACCCTCTCCGAAATTTCTCAGGAAATTCTACCTTAGAAAGATCTAGTTAACGCAGGTTAGAAAGCTGGTCTTTTATTAGTTCAAGAACCTAGCGAGCAGCTCATTTAGCCAGGTGTCGGTAGTGGGTGAGAACAGTCGAGGACAAAATTAAATTAGGTGTGTTTCCTGGCTTTAAGTTCAGCTACTGTCGTGGGGATTTACTATTTCTCTCTCCTGCACAGGGAGATAATTTTTAAAAAAAAGTAAGAGGCATAACCTTGGGGAGTCAGACCTGAGTTGAAAATCCTTTTTGCTTACACTTGGGTTTCTGTTTTTATCTGGCAAATGATTGTACCAGCACATGGTAAACGTGTATTTAGCCCTTCCTTTTGCCAGGCACTGTACTAAATGCGCTATGTACAGTCTTAAAATCCTTACAACAGCCCTCTGAGGTAAGCGCTATTATTTTCCCCATTTTACTTATGATGAAATAATAATTGCATCAAACGTCGTGCCATTTTGTGAAAATTACACAATGTATGTGAACCTCTTTGCATTGTGTCTGCCTGGCACGTTAAGTTTTTTTGTTATGACGATGTCTCCTGAAACAAGCCAGAAATAGGTACTAACCTAGAAGGGCTTCTGAGTAATTGTTGTTCAGTCGTTGCTCAGTCGTGTCCAACTTTTTGTGACTCTATGGACTGCAGTAGGCCAGGCTTCCCCGTTCTTCACCATCTCCCGGAGTTTGCTCAAACTTAGGTCCATTGAGTTTGTGAGCCATCCAACCGTCTCATCCTCTGTCGCCCCCTTCTCCTGCCTTCAGTCTCTCCCAGGGTTAGGGTCTTTTCCTGTGAGTTGGCTCTTCACGTCGGGTGGCCGAAGTGTCAGAGCTTCAGCTTCAGCATCCGTCCTTGCAATGAAGGTTGATTTCCTTTAGGATTGACTGGTTTGATCTTGCAGTCCAAGGGGCTCTCAAGAGTCGTCTCTGGCACCGCAGTTCAGAAGCACTGATAAAGCATCAGTTCTTCCGTGTTCAGCCTTCTTTATGGTCCAACTCACGTTGGTACGTGGCCACTGGAAAAACCATAGCTTTGACTATAATTTGCTACCTTCTACTAGGTATGCAGAAAATGGTTTACATTCTGATTCAGAGGGATTTCCTTATAAGCAAACAATGAACATAAAAGAACTCCAGTGTCAAAGAAAATGTTTCTACAAGTTTGAATTCTAGCCAATATTTTAAACACAGCTATAAAAGTGGGGAAAGCACACAGTTTTAGAAACTACCCATACTTATGTAGCACTTTGTATTTTGTTCAATACAATGCACTAGTCGCAATGTCATTTTCATGTTTGCATGTTATAAGTAACTATACCTTAGTCCAAGTAGTTAAGTGATTTGATTAAGTGACTAGACTTTGTAAGTTACTGGGACTCTTAAGTCCATTGCTCTTTTCAGAATGTCAGTTTTGTGGTACTACACTTTACATGTAGAAAGTGAATTGAAGTCAGCCGAGTAATCAGTAAAGCACACTTTCAACTGCAAAGTGTAAATTACCTAACTGACCTAGGAGATTATTTTTCTTATGTATATGAGACCTGGAGGTAGGCAGTTTCTGGCATTGGTTCAGCTACCAAGAGGTGCTCTACCATCCTCTCTCTCTATGTATATGTGTGTGTGTGTGTGTGTGTGTGTGTGTGTGTGTGTATTCTGAATCATTTAAAAGTAATTGCATGTATTATGTTCCTTTACTCCAAAGCACTTCAGTATTTGCTTCATCAAAGCAACAGCATTCTCTTACATTATCATAGCTTTGTTAACAAATTCAACAGATTTAACATAGACAAAATATTATTTAATGTACAGTTTTGTATTCCAGTTTCAGCAGTTGTCCTGATAATGTCTGTGAGGGCAACCCATAGACTTTTAAATTAGCAGGTCAAATGAGTGATAAACCAAAGCATTATTGCTCAGTTTAGTTACGGGCAGAAAGAGTTCACCATTGAAAATATAGTTCCCATTTAAAGAGAAAAATACAGAGACATCCCTGGTAGTCCAGTGGCTAAAACTCCACACTCCCAATGCAGAGAGCCTGGGTTTGATCCATAATCAGGGAGCTAGACCTCACATGCTGCAACCAAGGGCTTGCATGCCTCAAGTAAGACTCAGTGCAGCCAAACAAATATTAGAAAAGAAAACTGTAGTTCTTTTCCTTTTAAAAGGTGGCTGCATACTCTGCAGTCAACAGTCCTAGTGATTATAAGATGTGGTTAGAGGATAACATTTAAAGTCAGAACCAAACATAGGTTGACTAGCTTTTTTAAAAAATTTTGATCATGCCGCTTGTGGGCAGTTCTTGAGACCAGGGACTGATCCTGGCCCATGGCGGTGAAAGCGCTAAATCCTAACCACTGGGCTACCACGGACACCTGGTTAACTCTCAGTTTTTATGTGATCTGCTACCTTGCTTATTTAAACTCCATAGACTTTTAAACCTGTTCATTTTCAGTTTAAATTGTTAACCACTTTAAGGTTATGTTATAATTCAAATCAACATGCTTGAACCTCAGTCTGTTCTTTTCCACAAAGTCTTAATTAATTACTTCAAGTTTGTCAGCTGGAATGCAGTATAATCTTGTATAAAAGGGCTGGTTTTAAATTAAAAGTCTATTGGCTTTCATGTGTGTAACATGTCCTGGTTTGAAACACCTTTTTTTTGTAATTCTGTACTCTTACAATAGAGTTGAGCATTTTGAAACAAATTTCCCCATAAACCAGGGCGGGTAGAGAGTTGGCACAAATTCTATTAGCTTTAAAATTAGTCATTAACTGTGTTTCTGAGTGGGTGGAAAATAGATGTGATACTTTAAAAAAGTTATTAAATTTTTTTTGTTACTTTATAGTTACGTTAAATACTTACTGAGCTACTGCAAGAAGCTTGGCACTGCAAAAGTAACTTTTTTTTTTGTTCTAGGATATAGTTTCAGGCTTCATGACTGAAGCATGTGAGGGCTGTGTTTTAATTCCATCTGTTTCTTCTTTTTTAAAAAAAGATTCATTTGTTTATTTTGGGCCATGCTGGGTCTTTGATGCTATGCATGGGATTTATTTAGTTCTCTAGTTGCAGCGGAGCAGGGGCCACAGCAGGGGCCACTTACCGTTGTGATAACACAGGCTCTCATCTGTGCGGTCCACTGCATTTCAGAGCAGAGTCAAAGCACTCAAGCTTCAGTAGTTTGGGCTTGTGAGTACAGTAGTTGTGGTGCACTGGCTTAGTTGCCCCTTGGCATGGGGATCTTCCTGGACCAGGGATCGAACCTGTGTTCCTTGCATTGGCACATGGGTTCTTAACCACTGGAACACCAGAGAAGCCCCTCTTTTCTTTCTTCCTTTGTTTCATTTGCTGGTTCTGTGGTCACTGCAAATAAGTTGATTTATTTCCAGT